GGATGCTAACGGTAGCTAACCTTAGCTGGAGCAGATGGAGGAGCAACTGTGCAGGTGGATGCTAACGGTAGCTAACCTTAGCTGGAGCAGATGGAGGAGCAACTGTGCAGGTGGATGCTAACGGTAGCTAACCTTAGCTGGAGCAGATGGAGGAGCAACTGTGCAGGTGGATGCTAACGGTAGCTAACCTTAGCTGGAGCAGAGGGAGGAGCAACTGTGCAGGTGGACGCTAACAGTAGCTAACTTTAACTGGAGCAGCTGTGCAGGTGGATGCTAACGGTAGCTAACTTTAACTGGAGCAGCTGTGCAGGTGGATGCTAACGGTAGCTAACTTTAACTGGAGCAGCTGTGCAGGTGGATGCTAACAGTAGCTAACCTTAGCTGGAGCACATGGAGGAGCAGCTGTGCAGGTGGATGCTAACGGTAGCTAACCTTAGCTGGAGCAGARAGAGGAGCAGCTGTGCAGGTGGATGCTAATGGTAGCTAACTTTAATTGGAGCAGTTGTGCAGGTAGATGGTAACGGTAGCTAACCTTAGCTGGAGCAGAATCCACCTGCACGGCTGCTCCTCCCTCTGCTCCAGCTAAGGTTAGCTACCGTTAGCATCCACCTGCACAGTTGCTCCTCCATCTGCTCCAGCTAAGGTTAGCTACCGTTAGCATCCACCTGCACAGCTGCTCCAATTAAAGTTAGCTACCATTAGCATCCACCTGCAAGGCTGCTCCTCCTAACGGTAGCTAACGTTAGCTGGAGCAGAGGGAGGAGCGGTCATGCAGGTGGATGCTAACAGTAGCTAACCCTAGCTGGAGCAGAAGGAGGAGGCAGGGAGGGACGTGTCTGAGGTAACTAATCTGTAGGAGGACTGTGGAGCGGAACTTTGGGTTCTGTTGGACCAGGTTCCTGGTTCTGATCAAATGTTCTGTTTCTGAACCAGAACTCATCGACTTCAAGACGAGAAGAGTGGCAGCGTTCAGGAAGAACTTGGTGGAGCTGGCAGAGCTGGAGCTCAAACATGCCAAGGTACTGTCCTCAGACCCAGCTGGGTCCGGATCAGGACCGAGTCAGGTTCTGTTTCCTCCTCTAAAGTTCTGACCCATTTAGAACCAGGGAGAACGGATCAGTCAGAACCTGATCAGCCAATCAGAGCAGAGACGGGGTCCATCCTGATTGGACAGGTGTGTTTACAGGTGTGTTCTGTGTCCCGCCCCCTGCAGGGAAACCTCCAGCTGCTGCAGAGCTGCGTGAGCGTCCTGAAAGGTACCACTTAACTGTCGGACCCGACCCGACCCGCTGTGAGGACGGACGGCGCTGAGAACTGTGGACCAGAGACACAACAGAGACAGGAAGTGACACAAAGTCTGTTTTCTTCATCACCAAACACCCAGACCCCCTGCTGGGTCAGACCCCCTGCTGGGTCAGAACCCCTGCTGGGTCAGAACCTGGACAGGTCCTCCTGACACACAGTCAGAACTGCAGCACCTCCTGTTCTTTCTGATCCAGCAGGACCACCCAGGTCAGTTTGGAGCTTGGATGGATCCCTGCAGTCTGGATCCATCCTGGTCTGACCCACTCAGCTGGATTTGATTCAGAACCCGGGCCCGGTCCTTCTTTAAGCCCTCCCTTTGGGTTTTTATTCTGTTACCTAAAAAACTGATCGGTCCAGTCTGGTTCTTCTGGTCCCCCTGTAGAACAAACTGGATCCAGTCTGGTTCTTCTGGTCCCCCTGTAGAACAAACTGGATCCAGTCTGGTTCNCTGGTTCTTCTGGTCCCCCTGTAGAACAAACTGGATCCAGTCTGGTTCTTCTGGTCCCCCTGTAGAACAAACTGGATCCAGTCTGGTTCTTCTGGACCCCCTGTAGAACAAACCGGGTCCAGTCTGGTTCTTCTGGACCCCCTGTAGAACAAACCAGATCCAGTCTGGTTCTTCTGGACCTCCCTGTAGAACAAACCAGATCCAGTCTGGTTCTTCTGGTCCCYYCTGTAGAACATACCGGATCTGTTCTGGTTCTGGTGAAACCTGAAGAACAAATAAAAACATGATCATAAGAGTTATTTGAGTTTTTGACAGTTTCCTCTTTTCAAAATAAAGGTCTGTTTCAGGAAAAGATGGTAAATTTAAAATGTTTCAGAAACAGTTGTTGATTAAAAACAAAGTTTCAGAATCAGTTTGTAAATTAAAATTGTTTATTTCAGAACAGTTTTTATTTTAAACTGAAAACGAAACATTTTCTGTTCTGATCATAGGATTTAGTTCCAGAGGAGGACTCTGCTCCTCCTCCTCCTGCTCCTCCTCCTGCTCCTCCTCCTCCTCCTCTCAGTATTTCCTGCAGTCTGTGTTTCTGGGAGTTTGTGAACCGTCTGCTGCTGTGTGGCGACGGAGAGCTCTGGTTCTGGTTCTGGTTCTGGTTCCTGTCCTCCTTAAAGTGTCATTTCAGAATCAGAAACTAAATGAAGCCTTGTATTTGTTTGTATAAACTAATGAACGCTAATCATCACTGTCACTTTCTCTCTGAATTTTTATTTTAACTCCAGTTGACGGTAAAATATTTTGCCTTAACGTCAGTCGTTTTGTTAACTTTTATTTTATAATAAAATCATTTTTCCCCTTTTTTATTATTAAACTGTATCTGAATGTTTCTTCACTTTTTTGTGACCAAAGCTTCCATTCCTGATTGACCATGGTGTGATTTAAAAAAAAGCAGAATAAATCAGGTTTTAGTTGTTTAATCTTAAACAGGTCTGTAATCCAACGTGCTCGTTCTGAGACTCAATAAAACTTTATGAACACTTTTCTTAAAAATCCTGTGTGTGAACGTTTTACTGAATCCACCGGAGAGAAACCAGCTGCAGTGTGCAAACAAGTGACGAAAATACACCAAGAGGTTTGAGGCTTTTATTGTGAAGGCAGGAACCGGAAGTCTTATCCCGGAAAAGGAGTTCGGGAGCTGCTAAGCAGAACAGTTTGAGTCAAAATGAGCTCTATCGGGACCGGGGTGAGTGTTTCAGACACTTTTAGACAGAAGCTTTGTGTTAGCTGTAGTTTGAGTTTGTTCTGTTCCTGTTTAGTTTGTTTTTACAGAGAAAAACTGTTTATTTAACACAAAAATCTTTAAGAGCAACATGTTAGCTTGCTGAGTCACAGACCGGCCTGTTTGCTGAGGCTAAAGTGAAAGTGTAACTGTTTTTTGTTTTATTTTGAGTTAATATTTATTCTGTATATATAGAAGAAAACTGCTATAAAAACAAAACGTTCACTGCAGCAGCCTCTCAAAATTTACGACTTTAAATAAATTAATTTAACACGTTGCTAACAGCTGCTAACAGTTAGCTCTGTTACCTGCCAGACTCTGTTTTCAGTTTGTTGTATTTGAGTTTGTGCGCGTGTCGGCTTCATAATACAAGATAAAAAATATATTCAAAGACGTTTTTCTCACCAAACAAGTTGTTTATGTTTATTCGGGATAAAACTAAACAAACAAAACCGACTTTATGGTCAGAAAATCTAAATTTAAACCCAGAAGTTAGTCAGCAAGGTGCTGTTGTTTGATTTGGTTTTCACATGGCACGAAAATTATTAGTGATAAAATACTTTATAATTTTTCTAAATTAGATGTGATTTGTGTTTTTGAAAACAGTTCTTCAGTTTAAACTGTGATAAAATATTAAATGACATTAAGTTGGTCGTCAACATGACAAACAAGGTTTGAAATGTATAAAAGATTAGATTTACTCTTTATCGTTTCCGTAAATGACTTTTATTATTTTGACTTGAATGTATGATCCTGTGCTCTGCAGTACGACCTGTCGGCCTCCACCTTCTCACCTGATGGACGGGTGTTCCAGGTGGAGTACGCCATGAAGGCCGTGGAGAACAGCAGGTCAGTTTGCTCTGGAGCTGTTTCCCTAACACCCACTTTTAATGAAACTGGAATCTAAAGGTGTGTGTGTGTGTGTGTGTGTGTGTGTGTGTGTGTGTGTGTGTGTGT